CCTCCCCCGCCATTGACGAGTTATCTCGTCTTTTAGAAGAAAACGCTTCCCCGCCAAAGACGAGTTTTTATGGCTTTTCGTGTTTTCACTGTTATACATTCGGGGGCACTATTACACATCTTCTGAACGAGTACAAAACCTCCCGAACAAAAACACACGTGAACAGGACGGAAAAACTAGCGATCTCTCATGTGAACAGATGCATATGAAAAATAATGCGATCATCAGCAATATACAGCATATAAATGAAAACTGCATAATGTTACGGAGTAAAATGTTGATCCAGGAAGTGGTATATGTATGTGCAAGCTTTGGAGGTTTTGATGGAAGCGATTTACTGGATTTATGCTTTGATAATCGTACTGAATATGATCCAGATGTAGTTTTTGATAAAAATGTGATTTTCTCACCTTTTTGCTCAAAATTATGCATTTTTTATGAATCCTACCTATATTCGAGTGTTGATAAAAAAAGAATGCTTTAAGCTAGAATAAACTGATTTTTTGTTTAAAAGTAGAGGCTCTGACCTTTATTTTGGTGTATTGCATATTCAAATATTCATACAGCAAAATATACTGGAGGCCATCAAATTTGAGAGAAAATCATCAAAATCGCTGGCAGTGGCTGGCAACAAGTAAAGATCATGTTCCATGAAGATATTTTGTAAATTTCCTACTATAAATATATCAAAACTTCATTTTTGATTAGTAATATGCATTGCTATGGACTTCATTTGGACAACTTTAAAGGCGATTTTCTCAAAATTTTGATTTTTTTGTTTGATAAAAAATGTGATTTTCTCACCTTTTTGCTCAAAATTATGCATTTTTTATGAATCCTACCTATATTCGAGTGTTGATAAAAAAAGAATGCTTTAAGCTAGAATAAACTGATTTTTTGTTTAAAAGTAGAGGCTCTGATCTTTATTTTGGTGTATTGCATATTCAAATATTCATACAGCAAAATATACTGGAGGCCATCAAATTTGAGAGAAAATCATCAAAATCGCTGGCAGTGGCTGGCAACAAGTAAAGATCATGTTCCATGAAGATATTTTGTAAATTTCCTACTATAAATATATCAAAACTTCATTTTTGATTAGGAATATGCATTGCTAAGAACTTAATTTGAACAACTTTAAAGGTGATTTTCTCAGTATTTTGATTTTTTTGCACCCTCAGATTCCAGATTTATCTGATCAGATTTATGTATCTCAGCAAAATATTGTCCTATCATAACAAACCATACATCAATGGAAAGCTTATTCAGCTTTCAGATGATTTATAAATCTAAATTTTGAAAAATTGACACTTGAGGCTGGTTTTGTGGTCCATGGTCTCATATAGGTGCAGAGCAGAGGTGTTTTCTTGAAAAGAAAAAAAAAGTGTTTTCTTCAAATTAATGCAAAGTGTTTTCTTTGAGAGGTACTTTTGAACCATCTAACCTAATGTTTACGTTTCTCTTTTAGATACAGTCAAGCTGATGCTCTGAAATACGTAGGTATTGAACGTGAAATGGAAATTCCATAAAGCCATCTACCTCCTTAAACAAATGCCTTACACTCATCAGGAATTCTCTCTCCACATGCATTTCCAATACAGTTTAGATTCAGTTTTATAGGACAAGGGCGAAGTTTTTAACAGTGATATTTTGAAGACTTCCTTTTAGAAAAAAGAAAAAAAAAAACTTGACCAACAGGCTGACTCTGGGATACACTTTCTGATAGTAATTTGAACATTGTCATGTTTACAGTTGAGGTTTTAGTAGAGAGTCATTTTATAATGGGCCATTGTTTTGTATTTGGATTGTAGGTGTTTTTTGTTTTCAATTATTTTGACAGTTTCCTCTATACCTTTGGACCAAATTTCACATTTAAACTGGCTGTACATTTGTAATGCAAAAACCTATATCATGCAGTCCCAACCGTTTTAAGGTTTGTTCGTGGAAACCAAAGCCACTGTCACTGCTTTGCATGTTAATCTCTCCAGAACCATGTTGCAGAGGTATTAAGTGCATTTTGTGGTGCCAATGCACAGTTGCTGTAAGAACAAAACAACTTGATTTATGTAAGAAGGGTAGACTCGGTATAATATTATTGCGGTGCCTTGACATGTTTAAAGAACACTGAATAGATTCTTGAATTAGATTTCCTAAAATGTTGAATGGTATACTCAAATTATGCATGAGCAAAGGTTTCAAATGGAGTGGAATCGGGTAACTCTTCATTCCTCACTGTACATTTTGTAATGTTTATTCAGACAGTTTCAGCTATGAACTATAGACGTCACTAAATGTAAAGAGATTGGATTAAGGTGCTGTTCTCATCCCTGGTTACGTGAAAAAACAATCACTTCTTTTTTCTGAACGTGGGATACTGTAAAATGGAAGCAATAATACCATGCTTGACTCCAGAAGTCCCTATTTATTTTAAACAGTGTAAACAAGTTTTATAATTTATTGATGGCTATCGTTTGCTGTGATTTGTCTAGTGAATATTAGGGAGTTACTTCTTAGGAGGTTGCTCATTTTAATCCACATTTCTCCTCTGAACCTGTTGCTCCCCTCTTGTTTCTACTCTTTCTTTCCTGAGGGTTTTTGACCACTCCATCTCCATGTTTTCGCTTCCAATTTCAAGGTGCTGTTAAAATTGTTTACAGGGACTTGTTAAACGTGATAAAATAAACGTTGAAAATAAGTGTCTGCTGTACTGTTTAATTACAATAGGCTAGAAATTCAGCTCAGCCACTTGAACAATGAACAAGAATATAAAAGAAAACCTAGCACTGAGAAAAGAAAAATTAAGTTTATTCATGACATTTATAAAATGAACTGCACTATACAAATGGTGTTCTCGTGGCTGGTAACAATGCAGCTCTAAACAGCCAATCAGAAATTATTATTCTCAGAGTGCTCTTACCTCTAGGTATTTCTGTCTGCAACCAACAGCCTTTTTTTTTTTTTTAATCTGTCAGTTTTCCAAAAGTAATTATAATTACAATTAAATTAATCAGCATTTTGTAATTTTCATAATGATAGGCATTAGCATGCAACCCTGACTCTGGGTCCCACTATGAGCATAGTTCAATGTCCAATATTTACACATTAAAAAGTAAATGGCAATCCTGAGCAGTTTAAGGGCATAAAGAAGAAGACTGGCCGCTTTAGCAGTCTGGGTTTAAAGGGAAAAGTCCAGTGTCACATTGTCCTACTCGGCAACGATGCCTTGAGATCTTTATGAGAGAATCCTCTGTTTGTCTGGCTCCGCTCTGTGTTTTTATTCCTCAAATATCTAAGAACATCAGAGGACATTGTTATGCCAAGTAACTATAAGTGTCTTTTTCCCCATCCACACGTTCCAGGTATTCCTTCTCTATCAAAATGTCAATGCATTTCTGAAAAAAATAATCACATTTTAATATTTCAAATAAATGCTTCATAAGTAGTCAAATTGCAGCGCGCTGCAGCCCTGTTACCTTGATAACAGGAACACGAGGTTTGAATCGTGAGGAAAGTTGGTTCAGTACTTCGGCCAAAAGCTGCTGGTGCTTTAAAACTTTCCTCATCTTCATAATTCTCACGATAGCTGCCTGTACACAACACCACAAAACAGGGAAACTCAAAAGAATATTTTATTTCAACTTCAAGGGATTGTTATAGTTTATTTTTAATACCTGTATGAGGAGCTTTCTGTCTTCCTCAATATTCTTGTGTGTCGTCTCCTGCTCTTGTTTCTGCTCCGTCTTCATTGGCACATTGATATTCACCCGTAACTTCTTACTGCACACACAGGAAGGACAGTGTAGATATGCAGATGACAAATGTACAAACCTAACAATATTTGAAAATATTAGTATGTACTATTTTTAAAATGTTACTGAAAGTCAATTATTAGTGTATACTGTGCAGATCAAACATGAAACAGTAAGAAAATGCATTTACTTCTTATAGCCCAAGAAAAGTTTGATTAATGTATCAGGCTTGAAATCCATTTCATCTATGTTTGCATTCTCATCTTCCAAGACCTACAAAAACAAGACAAAAAATGCATATTAAAAAAAACAAGTCATCTAAATCATCTTTAGATTTTATAATTGTATTATAAATAAAAGTATTCACAAAAACAGTCATATTTAAACAGAAATGTAAACAATTAAGGGAATCACATGGCAACCATAAGCATGCGGGAAAAAAAGGGCAAATATAAATTGCACTGATGTTGAAAGATATTTATAGGATCCTATAAGCAATTAGTTTTCAACACTTACCAGCAACTTTGATTTCAACAGGATTTGCAAGACCTGAACCAAAATATCCTGTGAAATGCAAAAAACAAAACAAAAAACATTAAATCAGGAAAACATAAAAAAAACAAAAAAAACACCGCACACAAAAAATAAAATGCATCGCTAAAATTACTAATTTTTACAGTGTTTTAAATAATACCGAGACTGATACTTTAAACAGCATGTTTTAGATATTTCAGGTGGATTAAATACTTGTGATTTTTAACCAGTGGGATTTAACAGACGAAATCGCTGTTTCTGCTACTGGTTCTTTTTGTTCTAACCAAGTATGACTTTTATACGAGATGGAGATCAAAGTTTACTGATTGACTAACGTGAATGTTGTTATGGGGATATAAAGCAATGGCACTGCACTCACTATTTTGATCTGTGTGCTGTCGGCCAGTTGCTGGACAGTGTAGCTGTTCTCTGTGTTGAACTGGAGCAGGATGGCCATCTGGAAGGTGGAGGCCTGCGGGGACACGACACAAACACATGCTGACACTTGTGCCAGCTGAGTCCTACAACCTTCTTAAAGCGCAGGTCATATGGTATTTTAAAGTGTCCTAATATTGTATTGGAGTCCCCCTACAACAGCAAGACGAGCATTTGTGGTTAAAAAGTATGTTTATTTTTTTAAGAAAATGACCGATGGTTTCGCTAGATAAGACCCTTATTCCTCGGCTGGGATCCTGTAGAGGAGCCCTTTGAAGCTGCACTGAAACTGCAATTTGGACTTTCAGCCCATCAGTTCCCATTGAAGTCCATTATATGGAGAAAAATCCTGGAATGTTTTCCTCAAAAACCATAATTTCTATGCGACTAAAGACAGAAAGGCATGAACATCTTGGATGACATATGGGGGTGAGTAAGTCAGGAAATTTTTCTGGAAGTGAACTAATCCTTTAAATGCATCTAAGGTAAGGAAACATTGTAATTTTCTCAGAATATACATTTAATATTAGAATAATTTTTCAATGATTTCGAAACGATTCGTTCGAAGCAGTTTAAGGTCTGTAAACTCCTCCCTTCCATAAGCCTACTCTGCTCTGATTGGTCAGCTGGCCAAGTCTGTTGTGATTGGTCTTTCCGTATGAGCGTCGGAAACGAAACGGCCATTACCATAATAAATGATCTGCTCCGGAGGGTTACTTGTAAACAAAGATGCTATAAGGTTACAAAAATGGCATCGATATTACCTTTTCAATTTGAGCCCGAGCCCGATACAGTCGCTCAACCGGAAACTCCATCGCAAGCATGACTTGATCAGGACGTTTCTCAGTGGTAAGTTTAAACTTTGTATGTGGTACTTTACGTGATGTGACAGCAGTTTTATTGCATTCATTCATTCATTATTACTATTTACTTATTTGAGGTGCACGTGTGGGAACTGTGTTAGAATGCCCAGTGAGGCTGAAAACAGCGTCTTCTCGACATGATGTAAACACACTAACTAGCGGAAGTGTTTTATAGTTTATCCATAGTGGATTATGTAAATGTATTACCTTGTGACGTATATAGGTAACAGAAGATTAGAAAGTATGACAACTCATTAAGGCGGTTCAGAGTCGACTATTTCTTTTGGGAGACAATATTTTTATTTATCATGCACTTTTTTGATTAACAACATTGCAGACTGTTTACACTGAAGGATAGCTACGTTACAAACTGCAAAAAAAAACCCATGAAAACCCATATGACCTGCTCTTTAATGAGTCCCAGTACATGCTGTGAACTACCACTGACATGATGCAGCCATGAAGACACAAACCTGCAGAGTGTATCTGTTCTTGAAGCAGCTGGTGACCAGCTCCCCTTTGGATAGCTGGTAAAGCCATGTCAACTTCCGCCCGCTGTGTCTACTTCCATAAAAAGCTGTAAATCTTTGGTAACTCCGCTCCAACTGTGAAAAATAAAGGCGTTGAAAAACTATCATCAACTGGAAGTGTAATCACACATTATTCTCAGCTCGTGGAAGGGTGTGAAGGGCTTGGAAAATTACAGGGTTAAGCATCTGAGCATCTCACCTCAGATGGTAAAGCGAATGTGCAAGACTGTTGGAACGGCCACGAGCCAGAGCTCAGAACCTGGATACTGAAATCCACTGCAAGACAGATGGAGCCGGATTTTTTTTCATCAGTAATGACCGCATGCATGTTATATTATAAACACTCTCAGATAACAAACAAACAGGAGAAACCAATGTAAAACCAGAGTGTGAAGCACTTACAGTCCAAAGGCTCCGAGTTGGAAAGGTGCTTTTTGAATTGCTCATTCAAGTCTTTGCTGACGCCGATGTCCTGAAACATGCGCTGTAGTTTGGAGGTGTACTCGAAACCACATGCTTGCTGAGGGTGGACAGAAGAAAAAAAAGGTGTTAAGCATCCGTTAAGAGATAAATGAAGAGCAGTGAAGTGAGCCATCTTCACTAAACAAGCGCACAGACCTTCAGTTTGGAGATCATGCTGGCCTCGGCGTCGTCGCTGGCACTGTTCTGGTGCACCAGTCTTTTGGCCAGCATCTTGGCATAGAACTTCTGGAACACGTCTTTATCCTCAATATACTTAAAAACCACCATCTGATGATGAAGGATGTTGGAGAATCTCATCAGTCACACATTCATATGAAATGAATTAAATTACACTCAGTCATTTGTGCGTACGGTATGTATAATGTGCACAGTTTGCAGATTTTCTGTATGCACAGAACACCTGGATAGAACACTGCATGTGCCACAATGTGCCGATCACATCAAAAGGAGAATGAAAGCAATAATCAACCACAATCTTTCTTGACTTATTTGACCAGGCTGACAAAAGTCAATGATATTTGTGCATGAATTTGAATTATTCAAAAAGTACAAAATGTTTTTTTGGATGATATAAGAATGGAAACGTCAAATAACCAAACCCATGTCAAATGGCTGGTGCATGCTGAACCAATACTAATGTTTGAAATATATATGTGTATATATATATATATATATATATATATATATATACTGTATAATGCAGTACACAGTATATACAGTAAGCATATCTCTATTATTAGTGGTAAATTAATCTAGGGCCCTATAAAGAAAATGGATGGAATCATAGAATTCAGTCATAAAAAATGAAATTGACTGTATAAAGGCCAATTCACACCTTACCGGCAGACAAAGACCAACGCTGACAGTCACCAGATTACTGTACATCAGGGATTCCAAGACTTGACAAATGACCAAACACTAACACGCTGATCTGGAAAAACCCGACCCATGTGTCTGTTGCCATTTGTCAGTGTTTGGTGCAGTGTGAACTGGTCTTAACACAGAATTTAGTCAATTCTGAATTACTAAATCAAAATGAAAGAAATCAGGACTAGTGTCTGTGATTATTAAACAATATAAAGACTGTTATTTGTAGTCGGCATGCTCTGCATGTCTCAA